CAAGCCCTCTGGCGATGGAAGCTCTCAGCCTCTATTTTTTCTTTTCTTTTTTTTTTAATTTTGGGATTTATTTACCTTCTATAATTGAAACTTTGTTGCTTTGAGTGGAGCTCAGAGCCTGGCCGCGGCAGGGGGGAAGCTTGGCTTCCTCCATCATTGGGGCAACCAACCCTCTTGCTTGCTCCAGCTCCATGGCTGCCGACCGCCATCTCAGTTGGGTTAATTTGCATATAGTCGCTCTGATTGGCTGATGGGCATGGCTTAAGGCATAGTGAAGGTATGGTCAATTTGCATGTTTGTCTTTTATTAGTGTAGATTCTTGAAATAATATTGAAGAGATGGAGAACAGATTACTAGTTGCCAGAATTGTGGTGGTGATTACTATACATGTGATAAAATTGCATTGAACTATACACACACACACACACACACACACATACACGAGTGCTTGTAAAACTGGCGAACTCTGAATAAGCTCTGGGAACCATGAATGTCAATTTTCTGATAGGGATCATGTGTTGTAGTTATGCAAAATGTTACCATGAGGAAGGGAGAGGGAGAGAGAAACATCAGTGATGAGAGAGAATCATCTGTTGGCTGCCTCTTGCATGGCCCCTACCGGGGACTGATCCTAGAACCCAGGCATGTGCCCTGACTGGGAATTGAACCATGACCTCCTGGTTCACAGGTCGATGCTCAACCACTGAGCCACTCCAGCAGGGCTAGTGTAGAGATTTTAAGAGTATTCTCAATTCCCCTCTGTTGTCTCTTATTATATTACTGTCATCATTTAATTTGTCTATAAGCTATATTCATCCAATACATTGTAATTCTAGTTTATCTTTTATTTTTTTTTTTGCATGAATTTCAAGAGTTCTAATCCGGGCAATCTGACTTCAAGGAGTCCCTGAACCAGCAGACATTATTTGCAACATCTTGGCTGTATGCACCCATGTGTATTTTGGGGAAGAGTAAAGGTCCCCAACTTTTATGAATTATTGAAGGGGTCTGTGCTTCTCCCACCCAGTTGGGTGTGAGGGGAGATAAATAGTATATTCTTCCATGAAGTTAGAATTTATTACCAGTGTGCTGCTAATTGGAAATTGTATCAATGTAAGGTCAAATAACAAGTGTTAATTGGTGTTTTTTTTTAAAGAGATACAGTACAAATTAACATTAAAATATTTAATTAATTTACAGTTTATAGTCAAGGCCAGATATGGTCCAATCCTATGTACCTTCTTCATGTTGGAGACTGAATAACATGAGTTAATAGCCATACTCATGACCTTAAATATTGCAAAAAAAACTATGAATTCACATTTATATTCTAAACAAGGATTATACTATAAAAGTATGTTTAAGGTTAATTTGGACTTCAATTATTACAAAACAGGTAACCCATGAACTCTCTTATTCATATAGTGTAACCTTCTGCATTGCCTTCTCCTTGAAGGTAATACTCTGCCTATTCATCTGGCAGATTCCATATGAGGGGAAAGAGCAAAAGTAGGATTTCCTTGTTTATTCTCCAAAAATGTCCCGAGTTTGGTTGTTTGATTCGCATGATGAGACACCTTTGTCTTTTAAGTGTTAGTCCTGGGCTCCCCTGATCTGCACACTGCAGTCTCATGGTCACCTGTCCCTCAAGATTCTCTCTCTCTCTCTCTCTCTCTCTCTCTCTATCTCTCTATGTCTCACACACACACACAAACACACACACACGTTCTTGTGGCCAGCTCCAGTTATTTCACATTATTATTTTGAGATTCATCCTTATTGTGGCACAACTCGCCCCTCACCTCCCTCCTGCAATCGACCTATCAGACTTGGAAATCCTAGGCGCTGGGTGCTGGCTCCCCCTCCTTTGTGCTCAGGGCCCCACCCTTTCTCGGGTTTCCAACCCGACTGGTCGGCTGCAGGTCGGATTGGCTGAGCTCGGAAGAGGAGCAGAGGCTTCGCCAAATCACAAATCTAGGATTTCCCTTTTCCCGGTCTACTCCCTAGAATCCTGGCAACAGATGTGCTCCATTGCTTCTCCCAGCGGAACCCTGCCCGGGGTTGCTATGGAGACAGGACGCTGCAACTTGCAGAGCAAGTAGGACCCAGAAATCGCTTAGCAGACCTCAGCAAAGCGACTGTCCTGCGCTGACTCTTTCCACATCTGCACAATCCCTTTCATCCAGAAGTTTTTTGGTGTTTTTTTTTTTTTTTTTTTTTTTTTTTTTCTTTTTTTTGAATATGGAAGACTCCAATGCCCTGGAGCCAGAACAAGAAAATCAGGAATCGGGGGAAGAAGGGAGGCCGTGGGACGAAATGACAGCAGCTTCTACCCAAGATCCTCAGCCTGGATTATCTGAGCACCCGGAGTCAGAGCAGGGGCCTGACACTGGACCCCAGCCCGGGAGCAGCCCACCTTGGGGTCCGCCTGGGAGCAGCCCACCTGGGAGCCCGCCTGGGAGCAGACCACCTCGGGACCCTCCGTCCAGAGGCAGCCCACCTGTGGATGACCTCGCGGGACCAGGTGCATCTCCACCTGCGCCTCCTCGGGAGCCCTCCTCCCCTCCTCCTCTGGCTCTGTCGGCACAGCACCTCGCTGCACAGTGGCGCTCAGACAAGACCGCGAGGGGGATTCCTGAAGCCGGGACACCTCACCCTGACCACTTGCAACAATCATCAGATGAAGGAGAATCAACTCACCACCAAACAGGCCAGTCAAAGGGGAACGCCTTTCAACAGCTTCAGCAAACCAACGGTCACCGGTATGAGCCGAGGGACGCGAACGACGGTAACTCTGAACAGGAAGACCTGAGATGTGACACTTCTCAGGAGGAAGACTCAGACAGTGAACGTCACCTGGATGAGGCTGAGCCTGGGCCTGAGCCTGAGCCTGAAGCGGCCCCCAGCATGCGTGAGATTGCCGTTCGGAGCGCTAAGGCTTACCTACTGAAGACCAGCAGCAAGTCAGGCTTAAATCTGTAAGTCCTGGAGGAAAGAAGAGAGAAAAGTATCGCAAAGAAAAGGGGGTGCGAGTATCTCTGGGTGAGAGTGTGTTTCTATAGGGAAATATCTTTGAAAAGTCTGTATTAGTATGAGTTAGTGGCTTAGTAACTCTTTCTTCAACAGGCATCAAAATAGGTCATTGGTGGGGATTCTTCTAGTTTTTTTTTTAGAGTTGTGTTTCTATAGGGAAATATCTTGGAAAAGTCTGTATTAGTATGAGTTAGTGGCTTAATAAGTGTTTGCATCATAGGCCTCAAAATAGGTCATTGGTGAGGATTCTTCTAGCTTCTTTAAAGACCCCTGGCACAGAGAAACAAAGCCTAGGAATTATGGAATCTTGGGTGTGAAAGAGACCAAAGAGGTGGTGAAGTCCCAGCGTCCCTTCAAGAAGCTTGTAACGGTAGCTTTCTGCCAGTGATGGGGAGCACCAGGCTCTGCTGTCAGCATCAGAGAGCTCGCAGGGCTTGGTTTTGAGTTCTCACCAGGCCAGTCCTGGGTGACCAGTTATCTGGTTTTCTGGAACTGTCCTGATGTGAGCGCTGAAAGCTCTGCATCTGAAAAAACTCCTAGTCTAGGCAAACCGGGGGCATTAGCCACCATAATTGGTCTAAAGAATAACAAGTGTTCATATTTAATGTGTGCAATCTCTCACAAAACTCAAGATTGACTATTTAAAATGTTATTTACAAATTACTGTCTTAAACTACAATTTACTTAAGCTTTAGGGATGTGATCTGCTGCTCAGTTAAGGTAAAAAAAAGAAAAAAAATGTTAATCACTTTAAAATTTATAACTAAGAGATTTCAATCTCAAATAACATGTGAAATGTTCCCGATATAAAATATGTATCTTTCTATGTTTTTCTTTAATATTTTAAATATTCATATCATATTGGAGATATTTTTGAAGGAAAATTCTAGAATAGGTTTTCCTGGCAGTGGAAGTTACCATGTTTATTCACTTAAAATTTCTGAAGGTTTTGAGTTGTTGAAGTTTCCTAAACACCAGCTCCCTGAGTCTGCATGAAATGCTTCTTCAAACGCTTTTGATGTGGGTAACACCTGGAATTTTCTCTTTTTGGATAGATATGACCATCTTTCTAATATGCTGACCAGGATCTTAGATGAGCGTCCTGAAAATGCTGTGGACATCATTGAAAATATTAGCCAAGATGTAAAGATGGCACATTTTAGTAAAAAACTAGATACACTCCAAAATGAGAATGAGATGCTTCCAACATATGAAATAGCAGAGAAACAAAAGGCTCTTTTTCTCCAGGGAAATTTGGAAGGAGCTGACCAAGAACTGGAAGATGAAATGGTAAGTCACTACTGTAAATCTGAATAGTGCAATCCTGAGGTTTGATTGGAGGTGAGTGGGTGTGGCTCTAAATTCATATCAATAGTCTCTTCTGGCTTGCTAAATAGTATTTTCAACCTCATTTCACATCACTCATTTCCTTGTTTAGTTTTTTTTTTTCTTCACACTTGTGGTTTAGTATTGCACAGGCTTAGCTATTACATGTTTGTGGGGCTGAGGTATTCATGTCAGAGAAAATGGTTTCTTCATCTTTTAAATTCCAAAGTGCCTGGTACAGACCTGGGCCTACAGCTGTTTCTTATTAACTCCTTGTTGAATGAATGAATTACTGTCAGGTCATTTAAAATCAGGCTTTAAATCAATATGCATATTTCCCTTTAGTTTATTAGACAAAGTAGAAATACTTCTAATGTCATTTTCATTCTCTTCCAAGGCAACTTCCTCATATTATGACTTGATATTATGCATATTATGCTAATGAACTATAATAGAAAAGGAGAGAGATCAAATGTCTTTTAATCCCGAGAGACAAATTGTTGAAAATATTTAGAGAACATTGGTGACAGAATTAAAAAGCTATCATTAGAGAATAAAATCTGTTTTATCACAGATATTTTAGCTGCAAATATTTCAAAATAGTATCCAGTATTGTGTTTCCTAAATGCCTACATGACTGTAATTTATACCACCAAGGGATGTATATACCTATTGAGCTTTCATGTTTTGTTCCACTAGATTGTTTAAAAATATGTCTATATATCTGCAAAATAAATGTTTAGAGTGAGATGATTTCAGAAAAGGGCAAAGAGTATGATTAGAGAAAAGACAGGAGGGTTGAGAATCTGGACCCGAAGGGCTCGGCAACCTTGGTGGGGAGACCCAACTTGACACAGTGTGCCCAGGGTACCCAGAGGGAACAAGTGATCGGTGTTATGGAACTGACATCAGCTCTTCTTTTCTGAAAATACCTTACTGCAACCATTTAGTTATATGGCCACACCCAGAGAAGATGAGTTTCGAGGCAAACAGCATTTAGGGATCAAGCAGAAGGCAGATATTCTCATGGAGGAATTTATCAAAGGTCAAACTCCAGTATGAGAACGGGACACTGGGGTATCTATAGGCACAACACTGTCAATTAGGGATCTGTGTCCTAAAATTAGGATAAGGAACGCGAATACAGAAAGCTGTTTAATTCTGGAACCTGAGCCTCTTATTCAGATTCCATAAATTCTTCCTCAATTATGTCTTCAAATGTAGTCATGATTGAGTACTTCTACATTCCTCTTATTTATCCTATATATTACCATATATATATGTGTATATATATATATATATTACTATATTGATTTTTATTGACTCCATGTATTACCATATGTATGTAATAATTATTTATTTTTTATAAAATATATGGTAATATATAAAAACATATACAACATACCTCAGAGATATTGCAGGTTTGGTTCCAGACCACTGCAATAAAGTGAATATTTCAATAAAGCAAATCACACAAATCTTTTGTTTTCTGTTTACACATAAGTTATGTTTACACTATATTGTATTCTATTAAAGGTGTAATAGCATCATATCTAAAAAACAATGTACAATAGTAACATCAAAGACCACTGATCATCTATATATATAAAAGGCTAATATGCTAAGTGTCCAAATGTCTGACCAGTTGCCATAATGTGCACTGAATACCATGGGGCAGATGCTCAATGCAGGAGCTGCAGTGATGTGCACTGGCCATTTACAAAGAAATGGCACCACAGACCTGGCGCCCACAAAGCAACACTCGGCTTCCCCCAAGTGGGACACAGGCCCTGCCACCACCCCGGAGCAATAGCCCACCAAATTGCAGCTGATGTTGTTAAGACCCCATGGCACAAAATGTGGCCCACAGCCCAGCCCGGAGATGGTGGCTGTGGGTGTGGGGTAATGATGTCACAAAGCAATGCTGGGCTTCCTCTGCCTAGCAACTAGCCTCCTTGCAGTTTCTTCAGCCCAGGTACATGACTTGCTTTATAGCCAGGTGAAAATGCCA